TATGGCTAGAAATTGGCCTCAATGATTTGGGATCGAGGGGGATTATCCCTCTTTATCCTGCCTCATCTCGTGTAGGCCTGGACAGCCTTCGTAGGTGGGCCCCATCCGTCGTCTACCCCGACCGCAAATGCGGCCGGTGTAGGCGCTTTGTGGGACCTCCTTTTGTCCTGGCTGGGCCCCGCCGGCTAGGGCCCTTTCTTCTGGCGCTCTTCTTGCTTCGCCGGCTCGTCGAGATTAACATTGACGCACTTAGTTCGGCAAAACAAAGTCAGGTTTCTCACTAAAATATTTTTAAATTATATAATAAATATGTTTGATTCTCAGATATATTTTATTTTCCTCAAAAAAAAATCATATTTCTTGTTTTCTTTTGCATTAGAATTGGCTACCGTTTAACCACGATTTCAACTACTGGGAAGGGTTTTATTAAAAAAAAAAGGTAAGTTAGGTGTGTGGCTCGGTGGCAAATATCATTTCTGAAAATTGGCCCGGTCGCTGAAAAGGTTGGCCACCCCTGCCTTAGATAAATTAAATCTTGGTGAGAGCGAAGCCAGAGCCGGCGTTTCTACTTTTTGTTTGTTTGCATTATCTACTGATAATTCCCTGTACTATGGAGTAATGGGATAATTAGTATGGACTAATTGTGCACATATTTTTACAAAATGGAAACGTGAAGAGGAACTTATGGTACGTATTTCTTTAAATTGCGGAATATAAAGTGGTAAAAATAATATTAAAAATCCATTGAACAAATAAGTTACAGATTTATTTTTGTGTAGGTAACTGTGACAATTATTATTTATTTTATTATAGATGGATGTTGTCATCACCTGATGCTATATCAAGCAGCAGTAGCAGCAACGACGATAGTGAAGATGAAACAAATTACAGTGCAGTGAATAGCATTAAAAAAGTTGCTAATTTTGTGGAAGAAGTTGTTCCTGCATATACTGTCGAAACTTTTAAGGATCACTTTAGATTGTCTCGTTCCATTGCATATACTCTGATAGGTTAGTAGGTAAATATGTTACTATGTGGCTACAATTTCTATCTTTGGTTTAATTTCTAGAGAAAATTTGTTTGAGCAGCTTTGCCCCAAACTTGGAACCTCTGCAGAAAAGTGTGTATTATTAACTTTATGGTATTTGGCCAACACCGAAACTTTTAGACAAATATCGGCCCGATTTGGAGTATCTTTAAATACCGGCAGTACTGTATTGTGTGTGCAGTACTGTACTGCACACACAATTGTTACTGCAGATGTTAACTTCATATTAACATTAAAAGAAGAGTATATAAAGTGGTCTGATGATCATGAAAAATAAACAATTTCTACTGAATTTAAGAAAAAAACAGGATTTCAGTAATATTATAGGATGTATAGATGGGTACCACGTGAAAATCTCCCGTCCTATAAAAGTTGAAGTTTATGTAAATAGGAAGGGGTACCACAGCTTACTAATACAAGCTGTCTGTGATCACCGGAAGTTATTATTAGATGTGTACTGTGGACAACCTGGTTCTCTTCACGATGCTCGGCTACTAAGGAAATCAAGTTTATATAAGAAAGCTGAAAGTATATTGGAAATTATTATTTGCTAGGAGATTCTGCATATCCTTCTTTAGGATGGTTAGTGACTCCATTTAGGGACAATGGTGAACTTACAGAAGAGCAGAAACTTTTTAAGTTTAGATTATCCTCAACAAGAATGGTTATTGAGCATACTTTCGGTTTTCTTAATGGAAGGTTTCGAAGACTGCAGCACAAAATTTATCTATAATCTTAATAGTAAAATGTATAATGGCTACATGTATATTACATAATATGTGCATACTCCAAATAGATGTACAGTAGAACCTCGATAATCCGAACCCCTGTAATCCGAACACTCGATAATCCGAACGCCGTTTTGGGAAAAATAAAAATAGTATGTAATCAGAATCGCTCTCTAACTGCTACAGTAAACAGAGCATCACCGTAGTAAACATTGCATCGTGTGTGTTGTTATTGTGCCTGGGTTGGTTTTTGCCTTCAGTCGCTCTCTAACTGCTACAGTAAACAGAGCATCACCGTAGTAAACATTGCATCGTGTGTGTTGTTATTGTGCCTGTGTTGGTTTTTGCCTTCAGTCGCTCTCTAACTGCTACAGTAAACAGAGCATCACCGTAGTAAACATTGCATCGAGTGTGTTGTTATTGTGCCTGTGTTGGTTTTTATTTTCGAAATTCGCTGTTTAATGAACCAGTGAAACATTAACTTGTGTACTGTAATTTCAAGTAAAATGGCTTCACAAGCGTCGTTTAAAAGAAAACACAAGACACTGAACATAGAGGATAAACTTCAAATCCTGGAAAAACTTAAGAAAGGTGAAAGCGGAGCGGCGTTAGCCCGAGTTTGGTGTCGGTAAGTCTACAATTACGGACATAAAGTCTAAACAAGATGCTATCTTGAAATATGCATCCCAACAAGATAGCAATGAGGGACCTAAAATTAGAAAAACATTAATATTAGCCAATAATATGACTCTTGAGGCAGCCTTATATTTATGGTTTACACAAAGAAGGAGCTTAGGTGAACCAATATCAGGCCCGCTTCTTTGTGAAAAGGCTCTAGATTTTAATAAACAACTTAATGGGCCTCCTGATTTCAAGGCCAGTAGTGGGTGGCTGGCTAAGTTCAAACAAAGGCAGGGAATAAGACAGCTTGATGTTCAAGGGGAAATGCTATCTGGTGATTCTGCAGAATCGTTTCTAAAAACTTTTGAAAACATTACCCTTGATAAGCAATTGTCAAGGGATGATGTTTATAACGCTGACGAAACTGGGATAAATTGGCGCTCCTTGCCGAGAAAATCTCTTGCATCACGTAATGAAACTCGTGCTCCTGGCTACAAAGTGAGCAAAGACAGGGTGACAGCTATGGTTTGTGCCAATGCAAGCGGCACGCATTCTCTTCCTTTACTGCTGATTGGTAAAAGCAAAAAACCTCGTTGCTTCAAGAATGTGACATGCCTTCCCGTCATTTATAGGGCACAAAAGAGTTCATGGATGACGTCCAATATTTTTCTTGATTGGTACTCTAACACTTTCATACCAGAGGTTAAGAAATTCAGAGAAAGCCAGGGGAAAACTGGAAAAGTTATGTTGATTATTGACAATGCCCCCACACATCCTGATATTGACCGCATGAACGGCATTGACGACAACTTTACTGTCATGTTTCTCCCACCAAATGTGACAGCCCTCCTCCAGCCAATGGATCAGGGCGTAATTGCCAAAATGAAAAAGATTTACAGGAAAGAGGTGCTTCGGCGGCTACTTCTAGCAGATCGAAATGATGGGCTCTGGCTGATGCAACAGAGTGGCTCAACAGTGATATTAATGAGCATGGTTACCAAATCTACAATGAAAACGAGACAGCAGTGACGATGAAGACGCTATTGATTCGGGCCCATCCCATGCCGATGCGTTCAGTGCTCTTGAAACGGCAATGAACTGGTACGAAAAACAACCTGAATGCTGTTTACCTCAGTTGATCACGCTAAAGAAAATCCGTGATTTAGCAGCCAAAAAACGTTCTTCAACTTTAGTTCAGAAAAAAATGAGTGACTATGTTCTTTGTTGAGTTTTTTGTTTTCTTTAATTTTTTTTTATCTTTCTGTACAGTATAATTTTTT